TGACCCATTCCATTGGGATGAACACGAGGATCTCACAGCAGTAGAAGGAGAAGATGTAGAGTATGAAGATCTCATGGAAGAAGAGATGGAAGAAGTTCCCAAGAATGACCAAGGAGAAACACCGCCGGAATTGAGTCCAGAAGAGCTGGATGCCTTGGATCAAGAAGCAGCAGTGGAAGAGCTAAATCGCCTTAGCAAGCTAGGAGTAATCGAAGAATTCATGGAGGCAAACGCAACAGGGAACGAAAAACGCATGGATTTGCGTGAAGTCTTCGACTGGAGGTTTCGCGACAACAGGTGGAAAAGACGTTGCCGGATAGTGGCAAGGGAGTACAGGGCAGGTGCGAGTTCCACGGCTGAGACATTCAGCCCGACGGCGAGCAACGCCGCGTCGCGCCTAGTCTTGTTGTTACACCTGGTGTACAAGTGGGTCGTAGTAGTCCTAGATATAAAGGACGCGTACCTTCAGGTCCCGCAGCAAGAAGAGGTGCTAATCACAATCAGCGATTGGATGAAGCGAGCTGCCAATCTGAAGGAAGGAGTGCTGTGGAGGTTGAAGAGATGCCTCCCAGGCCAGCGTAACGCACCAACAAGATGGTATGAACACTTGAGGAGTATATTGGAGAAACTTGGATTCATATTCTCAGTTCACGTACCCGCACTGGCTAGACACACCACAAGGAAGCTGTGTATCTCTATCCATGTAGATGACGAATTGCTAGCTGGAGAACCGGAAGAAACGGTTTGGCTAGTGGAAGAATTGGAGAAGGTGTTCAAGGTGGAGAAAGAAGGACCGTACCCAGCCGACGGAGTAGGAAAAGGAGAAGAGATGCGGTATCTCAAAAGGAAGAACAAACTCTCCCGAAGGGGGATGTTTTCTTATTTGATTGTTTTCATGTCGGAAAAATTGTTTACAATTTTTTGGCGCACTTTTTCTGTCATGCCTTGCTGGAGTATTTCGCATGACTTGCTACTTTTCTCACGAGTGCTTTACCACGCTTGTCTTGGTAATCGCAGTTTTGCTTGCAGGCGTGAGAAAATTTTTGTGGCCCCACTAGAGACCTGTACTGCATCTAACAGGTTCCGGGTGCTATCACAAGGCTGCTCCCTAGGAGCCCGTGCACGCCCCCTCCACTGGGAGGGCGGCAGATGGAAGAGGCGGGCTCTGCTAGCAGTGGTGCTCCTAGCACCAGTGATTACGAGGTGCTGTCTCAGCACCTCTGGGATCTTCAGTTGGAAGTTAACACCTTGCGAGCTCAGCTGCTTCTGTTGCAGGAACAGGTTCAGGAGTTGCAGGCATCGCACAGCCACTCCGCAGTGCGCCTTACCTGGATCGAGCAGTGGCTGCAGAGAGCCCAGCAAGCCTTCCGACATTTTGTGTCTGATTAGACTCCCTGCCAGTGAGCGCCCGCATTATCTGGGGTATGGCGCGGCCGCTTGATAGGCTGTTACTTGCTGCAGACAAACATGTGTCGAAGCACTCCCTTAAGTTGCCTTGGGAGCGCGGGGCAATGAGGGCAGTGTTTTCTCAGGGTGACTTGCATTCCCTTTCCCAGTGCAGTGTGCCAGCCCCTCTGCAGACGGAGCCCCTGGATTCATCTTCTTTTGAGGAGGCAGCTGCGAAAGCTCACCCCCAGGAGCATGCTTCGCAGTTTGTGCAGGTCGCTTTCTCCGCCAGGAAGTTTCAGAGGCCCCAAGAAACTGAGGAGCAACAGTTGCAGCTGCTTGCAGCCAGGTACGATGTCCTCTTGAGCCATGCATACGATTGCTCTTCACTTGGCAGACTGTTGAAGGACAAATGCGAGGCAGATCGAGTCAGTCTTGTTGCAGAAGCCTTGGGTGGCAAGGCTCTATCGACCTTGAAGAAGCGGTTGTCCAGTCTTGCCCGCCTGGTGGGATGGTGCTCGAACCAGGGTATGCAGCCTTTCCGATTGACTCTCAAGTGTTGATAGAGTACACCCAGCATTTGCAGCAGAGTGGTGCCTCGCATTCCGTGTTTGGATCTTGCATCGAAGCTTGTAACTTCGCTAGATTCATTTTAGGAGTGGATGCCATTGGTGATCCTCACAAGCACCCGCTTGTGCAAGGGCGTCTTCGCAAGGTGCGGTTCAACCGCCCGCCTCGTGTGCAAGCCAGGCCCTTCCAGGTTCGCGAGGTGGCATACCTTGAAGCTTTCGTCCAGGACAGCCGCCGTGATGCAAGGGATAGATATGCTGCAGGTGCTTGCTTGTTTTGCATTCACTCACGAGCCCGTGTAGGGGATGTGAGGGGAGTCAAGTCGATGTTCGTCGATTTCGCTGAGGGCGAAGGTTTCCTTGAGTGCATCTCAACGTCACACAAGTGTGCTTCAACAGGCAACCCGTTGGGGCTAGAGCTGAGCCTAGTGGCCCCCGAGAGGGGTGTGGGTCAAGGTCTTTGGGCTAAAGCTTGGGTTGAGGTGTGGCGCTTGTCGGGCCATCCGGTCGCCACCGGAGCAAGCAGCCTGCCTCTGCTACAATCGCCTATGCTCAATGGGTCTTGGAGCGGTCGTCGGATTCCGACGGGCCGGTTTGTGTCCTGGATCTCCTCGATCCTTAAGTCCGGGGATGCTAGCATGGGGATCGATCTCAAGGGCCATTCTTGCAAGCACACTGCCCTATCGTGGGCAAGCAAGACGGACATGTCCAAGGACTCTTGCACCATCCTGGGACATCACTCCTTGAAGGATCGGCGATCGGTCGTAACCTACTCTAGAGACATCCAAGCGGGGCCGTTGCGAGAGCTGTGTCAGATGTACTGCGACATTCGGTGTGGCAGGTATCTTCCGGATATGACGCGGTCGGGGCTTTATGCAGAGGGCCCTGTCGCTACTGACGCGACCGAGGAGCTGCCTGGTGACAGCGTGTTCGAGACCGAGGCAGAAAGGAACTGGTACAGGCCGGCGGTCAGCCCTGGTTCGATGTGCGACTCGGAGGCCCTTCCTAGTGTGAATGCTCTTGCCTCTGATCCGGGCTCCGCAGAGCAAAAGGACGCCAGTGACGATGACACCCCTTTCGGCCGTGCCGTGGACTCCTTGATTCACAGTGCAGAGCGCGCCGCCTGGGAAGACCCTGATGCTGCTTTCGAGGACGGTGGATCCCAGGGGGAGGAGGCGAGTGCCTCTTCATCTAGCGAGTCTAGCTCTGATTCAGGTTCGTCTGACAGCGAGATAGATGAAGTCCTGACTGCGAGTCAAGCAGACCCCACCGTGGGGCAGAGGTATCACGATCGGTGCCCTGTCTATCAGCAGAAGAACACAAGGACTCTTCATCTCAAGCCTGCGGGAAGCTCCACGGAGCGTTTTATATGCGGCCGTGATATCACGGCGAACCACAAGCCGTTCACGTCGGCGGTTCAAGCGGCGCATTGGCGCTGCAAGCAGTGCTGGAAGGGAAAGCCCATCAGGGACTTGGGGTCCTTGGTGCATTGCCTTGACGAGCGATTGAAGAAGATTCCGAGGTCCGAGTAAAAGACTGCTGAATTGCTTCGGAGTGAGCCCCCCCATGAGCCTAGAGGCCTCAGGGTTTCCCGCTTGCCTGCAGTGCTTTTCTTTCGATGGTGAGTGCGTGCGGGACATCGTTTGTGTTTGCATGCAGGACGGCTCAGACACCTTGCGGGATCATGTGTCATGTCATGCTGGATTTTTACCTTGCGGGATCGAACTGACTGTCGAGTTAGGACTTTTACTCGCATGCAGTCTTCACTGTGTCTGAGCGTGTAGGATTCGACTCTGCATCATGTCGTCCATTCTGAAGAGTCAAGCGGCCTTCGAGGAAAGGGCCAAGGAGTGCGGTTTGGCGCAGGCTGAGCTCGATGTGCTTGTGCGAAAGGGACTGACCTCTTTGTCGCTCCTTGCCTTCAGTGTCTCGACCCCGGGCGAGGTGCCGCAGGAAGCTGAGCTCAGGTCCATCCTTGATCCCACGGAGCCGACGGCTGTGCCATTACGAGCACTGTCGGCGTTGCGGCGCCTCATGTTCGAGGCTCAAACTTTGTCTATTGCACAGCTCAAGAGCTCGATTGAAGGCGAAGGTGAGAGGAAGGCGGAGTTGGCACCCGCCGAGAGAGCCAATCGTCTGGCTGATCAACGTAAAAGGCTCATAGGACTCAGCTTGACGGGCCCTCTTGAGAACGCTTTCAGCAATTACACTTATGTCGCACAGGTCGTTGATCAGGATTGCCTTTCCTACTTGGAGCCCCACAGGTTCCTAACCAGGGCCATGGAGGTGAATCGGGAGAAGCCGGGAAAGGAGTTGATCTTAGATGAGGGCTCGCGTATGAGCATCCGCGACAAAGCCCACAAGGATAAGTGTGGCATTCAGAATGAGTTGCAGCTCTCCGAAGCCCTGTGTCGCAGAGCACTTGCTTGTGATCTTCTGCAGCTCTGCACTTTTGCAACCATGGACATGTGGCACAGGCACTTGCTTGCCAAGCTGTCTGAGCAGCCGCCTCCTTACTATGCCAAGGTTTCGATGGAGCAGCTGCTCAGGTGCGACAAGGCAGCATGGGTGCGCATGAGTGAGCTCTTGACTTCTCTCAAAAAGGATGATGCGGGTAATCTTCCGATGGATGCTGCTCTGGACAAGCTTCAGTATGATCCCAAAATCATGATGCATTTGACCCCGCTTCCTGGGGCTAAGTGGAAGGGCGATGGAAAAGGCGACAAGGGCATCAAGCGTGATGCTGATGGCAAGCCAAAGGTGCCCCATCGCCCCAACAAAGGCGCTGGCAAAGGGAAGTGTCCTGATGCTTTAACCGATTCACGCTTGAAGCACAACTGCAGTAAGACCAAGAAGCGCTTGTGTTGGAATTTTAATTTGCAGGCTGGGTGTAAGTTTGCAAAGGCAGGTGAGAGCTGCAAGCGGGGCTTGCACATTTGCATGTTCTGCGAGCAGCCACACTCCCTTCTTCAATGCCCGGCTTACAAAGTCAACGAGTGACAGGAGGCTGAGGCTCCCGAGGCCGATTCTCTCGTTGATGAGGCGATGAGCCCTTCGGTCTCGTCCCATGCGGCAAATCCTGATTGCACACCGGCACGGATTGACCCGGCTGGCCCATTGGAACGTCCCAAGCCAGCCACTTCAGTGCCTAATCAAGTTCCGAATGTTGTGATTGATGAGCGAGTTTTTCCCTTGCCCGCTGAGCGGCGAGTGCATGCCTCTCTGCATCCAGCAGAGCAATTTGCGCAGGACGTTCTGTCGTCTGGTGAACCTGTGACAGCAACTTGTGTTGAGCGCCTTTTTAATTTGTTACCTTCTAAGACGGATGTGCGATTCAGTTCTGACTCTGGCAGATCCTTTGTTGCGGGTGTCTTCCGACATGGGGGCGTCGTTGGCCTCACGAACACCTGCCGTTCTTTTCCCCAATCGGTTAGTTTGGCCATCACCTGGGCCATGCAGCAGGCCGGGCCGCAAGAGTTATCCGACTTCACGTTTTGCTCGATTTCTCTGAACCTCAATGTTAAGACTGAAGTTCACCGCGATGTAAATAACGACGATGCTGACAACCTCGTGCTGGCTGTGACCACTTTCTCAGGTGGGCACATCTGGGTGCAGTCCGAGTCGGGCGGCCATGTGCTGCCTGTCAATGGGTCCTTGGTCCCTGGAGACTTGTATGATGTATCCGCGGCCCCAGTGCGGTTCTATGCTCGCAAGCGCCTGCATTGCACAATGCCGTGGACAGGCGATAGGCTGGTCCTCATCTTGTTTTCAGGCGGAGATGTTGCCCAATTACCCAGCCTTGACTTTGAGCACCTTAAATCCCTTGGGTTTAGGCCTTCGGTCTCAACATCCACAGCCAACCCGCCGTTGGCGTATGTACCACCGCCTGCCGGAGCTTTGGAACCCTTGCTTTCTAAGGTCGCTGCCAAAGTCAAGGGGTTGCCTCTTGATAGTCTTATGTTTCTTGATGTTTTCTGTGGAACTGGGGGACTCTGCGCATCCCTTCGGCAGCTTAGCATGAAACTGAGTGTCGGTTTCGACCGTCACGCACAGCGGGGTTGCAAATGTCCTGTTATCTCGCTGGACCTCACGAAGGCGGGATCCCGGGCCATTCTGCTTGATCTTCTCAAGCAGCCTCACGTGGTCGCGTGCCACCTGTCTCCACCTGTAACCACCAGTGGGGCCGGTCTCCTAGGCCCTCGCTCAGGCCGCTCAGGTGTCCTTCGCAATGCAACGCACCCTGAAGGTCTGCCAGGCTTGCAGGTACTGATCTTGAGCTGGTTCAAGGGGCTAACGCACTCTTTGCCATGTGCGCCGAGGTCTGGCACTTGTGTTGGAGCCATGGGGTATTTTGCTCCATTGCTCACCCAAGCCGATCTATCATGTGGCTCACTGCGGCACTCCGCTCATGCCAATCTTCTCCTTTCCTCTCTACCTCCTTGCATCAGTGCATGTTTGGATCCTACAGGAGAAAGGCTACTCGCCTGTTGCATACGGTCCCGTACTTGCAAAAGCTTGGTGTGACATGTGATGGCGCCCACGCTCATGAGCCGTGGCGTTCTCCTGCACAAAACCAAACGAAGGACGCCGGCTTTCCGCCTATGCTGTGCAAGGCCTTTGCCCAAGCACTTGTGGATCAACTGATTGCATGCGGTGCGCGCGCCCCGGCGAGGTCCCTCGAGAATGCTTCACTGTCGCTCTCATTGGGCGCCCGTGTGGCTACAGCAACGCAACCTTCAGGTCGGAAGATTCCTCCACTGGTTTCTGAGTTCGCTCGCACAGTCAAAGTGTCAGGCCCAGCCGATCAGCTGCCGTGCACCTCGAAGACCAAGCTGGTGTCGACGTGGGCGGTTCCCAAGACTGTGCTCTGCCAACCTTTCCTTCAGTCATTGCCGCCCGGTTCCAAGTGCATCCGAGCCAGCCCTTTTGTTCCAAGGGGTTTGGCGCCTGCCTCGGATGTGCCCGAAGTTACACTGGGTGCAGGTTTAGGTAGTCCCGACTCCCCGTGCCCGTGCCATCCGGCACCTGCTGAGGGTGTGGTTTTAGGTAGTCCCGACTCCCTAGCTCCTCTGTGCCAACCGGTACCTACCCTACCCTTGAACACATCCAGTGCGACTCCAAATGTCAAGCCGGGGCTTGAATTGCTCTTTGGCATACCGTGGTCGCCCTCGGAGTTCGTTGAGCAGGCCTGCAAGGCGAAGCACCCACGTTCCTTGGACCAAGGCGTGCCAGCCGGCATGTCGGCATGTATTGATCGTTTGTGTGAGCACAGCTCGGTCAGTGTGGCCAGGGATCGTACGGCCGAACTTCGCAAATGGGTGCTTAGGAAGAAAGAGCTTGACGAAAGCTTTGTTGGACCCGAGCACTGCAAGAAGGTATTAGCTGGCAAACCCATGAAACTCTTCGGGGAGATGGTTGAGGCTGCTGGACATGCTGATGTGAACCTGGTACGAGATATACAGCACGGTTTTGACTTGCTTGGTGAGATCCCTTCCTCGTCTGTCTTGCCGAAGAAGACCACCGTGGCATCTCTCAGCATTGAGGACGTAAGAATTGCCACCCCGGCAAATCAGCGGGCGATTTGGGAGACTACCCGCACTTGCAGGGACCCTGAAATCACTTCGGAAGTGTATCGCCTTACCTTGGAGGAGCGGGATAAAGGGTGGCTGACAGGCCCCTTCACTCTCGCCGATGTGCCGGAGACTGCCATCATTACACGCCGTTTTGGCGTCAGGCAGGGCGTGACGACAACGGCCACAGGTGTGGCAGCTAAAATCCGGCCTATCGACGACTTCACAGAAAGCTTGGCTAACTTGTCGTGCACATGTGCGGAAACCATTGACCCGCATTCAGTGAACATCATTGTAGCCGGGATCCTGAAACGGTGCAAGTTGCTACGGAAGTCCGGGAAGGATGCGCGCTTGCTCCTCCGTACAATAGATCTGCGTAAAGCCTATAAACAACTTCCTTTGTCGGAGCAGGCCTTGGGGGATGCTTATATATGTGTGCTTAACCCGGATACGGGTGAACCTGAGCTTTACCAAAGCCAGGTGCTACCCTTTGGTGCTAAACCATCAGTACAAGGATTCTGTCGTGCTTCGGGGGCAATATGGAGTGTGGGGCAGGCCCTGCTCCACATCCACTGGAGCGTGTTCTTCGACGATTTCGTGGCAGTGTCTTCTCCGGAGGAAAAGGGTCACCTTGATCTTGTGTTGCGGTCGTACTTTGCCTTGATCGGCTGGGAAACGTCCGACGAAAAGGACACTGGGTTCAGAAGTGTGGCAAAAGCCTTAGGGGTAGAATTTTGCTTGGACGAGATCCACTTAGGTCTGCTCAGGGTACAGAACACAGAGGCTAGGAAGCGCGAGCTTGTGTCCACCATCGAAGCCATCGTGCAGCATGGTGGAGCACATGCCAAAGAACTTGAATGCTTGCGAGGTCGTCTTCAGTTCGCCGAGTCGCAGGTGTTTGGTCGGGGTGCGGCCCAGCGCATGCGAGCTATATCAAAAGCAATGAAGCTTTCGGGTTTCGTGGTTCTTGACGACTCCTTGACCGAGGCCCTGCTTTTCTTGAAAGATCGAGTTTTGCACGGGGAAGCAAGGATGATCAGGGCCTGCGATCGCCCCACCTACCACCTGTTCACGGACGCTTCCTATGAGGCTGATGTGCCAGCAGGTCTCGGGGGCATCCTTTATAGTGATGGGGGTTTGCTTCTTAGGTGGTACTCGGAGTCTGCCGACACAGACGTTCTGGAGGCCATAAACAAAGAGGGCAAACAAGGTCTGATCTACGAGTTGGAGGCATGTGCCGCAGTGCAGGGTGTGGTGCAGCTTTGCAATTCCTTGAGTGACTGCAATCTCATTTGTTATTGCGACAATGAAGCCGCCCTCGCAGCTCTCATAAAGTGTGCTTCCGAATCACCGGTGGTGGCATCGCAGCTCAACAAGCTCAGCATGCTTGAGGATGAGAAAGGATTGAGTGTATGGTTCGAGAGAGTGGAGTCGTCTGCAAACCCAGCCGACGATCCTTCACGCTTTGTGCTTGGCAAGCTTCCCACTAGCTTCAGAGTCCGTTGGATACCAGGCGAAGAGCTGTTGTTCTAGCGGCATCTGATCTTGAATGGGGAGTGGCATCATCTGCCTTTCACTTGCGGGAAGCTTTTACTTGCAGGAACTTGCCGGAAAATCTCAATGCAGGACGATTCCAGCCATGCCTTCTTATCTGAACATCGGCCACGAATGTGGAACCGAAATCATTACCAGTCTGCACCCCTCGCTCTTAAAAAAGAAATCGTGCAGTGCGAGTGCTTCTGTCCGTGAGTGCAGTTGTGTCTACAGTCATGTGCATGTCTTCATGTTCTGTAGTGCGCTTGGATTGAAAACATAACCAAATAAGAACAAACTCTCCCGAAGGGGGATGTTTTCTTATTTGATTGTTTTCATGTCGGAAAAATTGTTTACAATTTTTTGGCGCACTTTTTCTGTCATGCCTTGCTGGAGTATTTCGCATGACTTGCTACTTTTCTCACGAGTGCTTTACCACGCTTGTCTTGGTAATCGCAGTTTTGCTTGCAGGCGTGAGAAAATTTTTGTCCCACCCACCCACCCTTGGGGGAGTGGCATCATCTGCCTTTCACTTGCGGGAAGCTTTTACTTGCAGGAACTTGCCGGAAAATCTCAATGCAGGACGATTCCAGCCATGCCTTCTTATCTGAACATCGGCCACGAATGTGGAACCGAAATCATTACCAGTCTGCACCCCTCGCTCTTAAAAAAGAAATCGTGCAGTGCGAGTGCTTCTGTCCGTGAGTGCAGTTGTGTCTACAGTCATGTGCATGTCTTCATGTTCTGTAGTGCGCTTGGATTGAAAACATAACCAAATAAGTATGTCTTCATTCAGGAAGGAATAGTTGTCCAACCAAATGAGAAGTATGTCCGGAAGCTCATTGAGTTGTATGACCTTGGAAAGTTGAAGAGCAAGGCCACACCAGAGCACATGGATCTGGTAAAGGAAGACCGGAGTAAAGAATTGAGTGCTGAAGAGACAAAACGGTTTAGATCTGGACTCGGATCTATTTTGTACCTTGCACAGGACAGAATTGACATTCAGTATGCCTCAAAGTGTTTGGCATCAAGTATGTCGAAGCCGACAGTGCAGGCACTGAAGTGTCTGAAGCACTTGATCTTGTATCTGAGTGGAACAGCCGCAAGGGCGACTTTGTTGCCGTATACCGAAATCGGAAGTCGGTTGATTACGAAGCTCAATGGCCACGAGGATGAAGGATGCAGGACATGTTGTGGAAGCGTATTCGGACAGTGATTGGGCAAGCCTGAAGACACCTGAAAGAGCTCGAAGGAAGAGTACATCATCAGGAATCATTGTACTAAATGGAGTACAAGTGTTGTCATTTTCGAGGACCCAGAAAGCCACATCATCATCAAGCTGTGAAGCAGAGTTGTATGCACTAAGTGGAACTTGCGGAGAAGCTATTCTAGTTGGAAGGCTATTCGAGTTCCTAGTGAACGCGCCCGTACGCGTGGAGATACGGTGCGATTCCTCATCTGCACGACAGTGGAGTCAACGAAGAGGAGTTGGACGTCTGAAGCATGTGGACGTTAGGTTGTGTCAACTGCAAGATTGGGTGAGAGATAATCTTGTCAAACTTGGAACGGTAAGAACCGCGCTCAATGTAGCGGATCTGAACACCAAGAAGTTGGCGTATGCTCGAAGGTCATTCCTACTGTATCACTTGTCCCAAGTGGAGTACGATGAAGAAGGAAACCTAGAGTACACCGGAGAGAAGGAGTATGAAAAGCATGAACAGGAAAAGAAGCTCAAGGAGTATGTTGGAAGTGGACAAATAAAGAACCTTATAAGAGCAATACAGGTTTTTCATCTGATGAAGCTTATCACCGCAGCAATGCTCAAGGAGGACGTAGCGAACGCCCGAGCAGAGAGTAGTGAAACCTTTGGAAAAGGTATGGACGCCATGGATGGATTTACGAAGTTCGAGGTTTGTATGATCGTATGCGTAATGCTACTCGCAGCCCCGTACGCAATCAGTATGTGGAAGAAGTGTATGCGCACGGTGGACCAGATCAAAGGAGTCGGTATGGTGAAGATATCGACACGGTCAAAGGCCCGTGTGTTTCACAAGGGAACATGTTGGCACGTTCAAGGAAGCCATATGCGTTCTGGCAAATGGATCTGGAAAGAAGAAAGTGAAGCTGTAGCGGAGGGCTACAGACACTGTTGGGTTTGTTTCCCGGAGACGAAGCCAGAAGGAAGCATGCGAAAACGCCGTGGACGCGTAGAGCCGCCAATCCCAGATGAAAGCGACTGGGAAGTGATGGAGCTTGACTACGAAGTAGAGTCAGCTGGAGGATGCACAAAACAATGTCACTGGTGCGGAATCAGGAAGTGTACAAGGGAGAAGAGAAACCACCAGAAATGTTCTTGTACGGAATGCATCAAAACGTATGCAATGGAACAATGGCGGAGAAGTTACGACAGAACTGTGACAGAGGATGCCACGGAAAAAGAAGAGACCCGTGTAACGGAAGATGCGAAGCATGCATGGAATGCCGGAGTACCAAAGAGCGGTACAGGTAAAGGATCCCTGAAGAGACGTGGAAGAGCAGCGATGGGGACACCAGCAATCGTACATACGGACGGAACGCGTATGCCCATGATAAGTGAGGAAAACTACGTTCGTGGAATGGAAGCCCTGGGAAGAATTGTTTCACCGGAAGCCCAGGAAGAACCGGAGAAGAAGAAGGAACCGGAGATGATTGAGTACCGTGGAAAGATGATAAGCGTGGAAGAGATGGGGAACAAGATGCTACCCCCAGAAGCACTGGAATCGTATGAAGAGTATTGCAAGCAATGCAATGAGGCGTATGAAGCGTCAGGAGAACGCGCCCAAGGATCAGTTGATCCCGGTACGCCAGACAGTACGGAGGAACGTACGTTGTTCGGAAGTCAGTAAGCCCTACATCGTGTACGAGTATGAGACAGAGCAGTGAGTGTAGGCAAGACTGAAAAAGTTTCACCTCGGAACACACAGCAGCGAAAGCGCAAAAGAAGGAAGAGCGCTAACGCAGGAAGTTTGTGTGGAAGTTGTTTCACATGGACGAAGTACTTGTTACTGTACGAATGTCAGGACATGGACGGTCTGACACACCTCCCTAATTGGGGGATGGTAAGGTGGGTTGCACGGAGTGTTTAACTTTAACCCAAGGACTCGCGATGGCAAAGCCTATGCAGTCACGGGCGGAGGTATGCCCGACCGCGGACCGATCGAAGTACAGGGTGTTAAATTCTGTACATAGGAACGCCCCACACCTTTGGTGAGCCCAGGCTACGGTATATTTACTTGCAGCGCCTTTTTGACTCAAGCAGGAAAAGCGTGACCGCTCAGGGTTTTACAGTTTAACTGTTCTTGATGCCGACCAGGGTGGCCATGAGACAGACTCGAACGTGGAGCTGGAGACAGGGGCGCCCGTATACAAGATGGACGCCACCGACGACGATGATGACTGGACCCTGGTGCCCGGCCTTGCGGCACTTTCTCTTGAGGCCGCCGAGGCGAGCGATGACGAAGAGAGTGTGGCCCGGGTGTGTGCGGTGACAGCAGGTGTGGAGGTGGATGTCATCATAGACAGTGGGGCCGACATTTCAGTTGCCCCTGTCCGGCTCAGCTCGGTGGGCCAGAGCGCAAAGGCCACCGGCGTTGTCATGCAGGACGCCCAGGGCAAGAGGATCCAGGAGCTAGGCAGCCGTGTGATCGACGTGACGGTTCCCACCTTGGACGGCGAGGAGGTGGTGATCAGGGAGAAGTTCAGGTTGAGAGTGTGATCCTCAGCCTGGGGAGGTTGCTGAGATGGGGGTGGACCTTGGGGTCCCACGACGGGAAGCCAACAATGGAGAAGGGCGAGCACCGCGTGGGAATTCGCCTGAGAAGGAACACCCTGATGATCACGGCCATGGTCTCGGCCATTTCTGCAGCAGCCCCTCCAGCAGGGGTTCGTGCCTTTAGCAGCTTCGACGACCTGGGCTGCCTCCCGGAACCTCTTGAAGAAGTTGCTGCACGTCCGGGCTGGCACATCCTAAAAAATGGGCTGCCAGCTTTGGTGGAACCTATAGGACATGGAGGATTGGACCTGGGTGGCTGTCTTTGTACGAGTGGAACCGGCCACCCGAGTGCCAGCCAAGGGCGACGTGTGGACCCAGGCGCTCACCATGCCCACCGAGGACTACGAGCAGGTGGTGAAGACGATTGCCGAGCTGGACGGTGACCTGGACACCATCACTCTGTTCCATGTCGACAGCCTCCCGAAGGACATTTTGAGCGCCGTCTTTCCAGAAGGCCCCAACGATGATGAGGCACCGTTTGTTCCAGCAGAGCGGGGCACCGATGATGAAGGGGCCGGTGCTGGGCTTGAGGTTGGAGACCTTGAGGCGATGGCGGTGGACGGCCGGGCGGTGGAGGATGCCCGGGCCAATGGCGACGAGGAGCTCGAGGGTGTGGCGCTCAGTGTGGAAACCCCCTTGAAAAACCTTGCGTGGCCTGTGTGACAAGCTGGGCCTATCCCGCAGTGGTGGCAAAGACAAGGTCTTGAGAAGGCTGCGAATGCAAAGGGAGGTCCTGGAGCAGCGCATGACGGCGGAGGTTGCCAGGAAGATGTTCCTCGAGCAGAACCGCGAGCCCAACATGCCAAAGGTGCCGGTGTTGCCTTCAGCCAGGCAGCAAGAGCTGCACAACATCACGCACCAACCCTTTCAGCCGTGGTGTGAGGCCTGCGTGCTGGGGCGAAGCAGGCAAAGCCCACACAAGGCCCAGGAAGCCGACGGCCAGGAGGTGAGCGAGCCCGACCCGGTGATCCAGATCGACTACGGGTACGGCTTCACCAAGCAGAAGCACGAGGTGCAAGAAGGCGAGCAACAGGCGAGGCCAGCCGAGGATGGGCAAGGGGGTGGAGATGGAAATGAGCCCAATGACGTGACCGCCGGGACCCAGCCCACGACTACCGCGACCAGTTCGGCCTCACCCTGTTTGCGGCGGAGAGCACCACGGGGTGGATTGTAGCGCTCCCTTATCCTG